TTCGTGGTTTTGCTTGAAGAGTTTGACTTCGATCGTGCGCTTCGAAAATTGTATGTGTCGTATTAATATGTGTTTGTGCGTGTTCGTCACCGAAACAGACGATGCATTAAATGGAAAATGGGTCATAAAAAACACAAGCAGAACTAAAAAAAACATATAATAATGCTTACGCGATTCACAAATGATAAACATAAGGCGTGCTGTGCATTTGTCTGAATGATATTTGTACAAGTTGTGTCCACAATATGGTATATGTGTGCGCACGCGTGTGTGTGTGTGTGTAGGCACACAGGCACTCAGCTGTGAGAGCTCAATCTACTTGTGCATCGCACAACTTGATAGCCACGTTTGGATTAGATTTTTGATTTTCAACGCTCACGCGTCTTCGCCCTTAACTCAAGTTTAATTGCGCGAATTGTACACTCTCAAAACTCTTCTACTGTTCGCCTGCTCTTTGTTGGTTGCTAATTCGTTTTTTCTTTATAATTTTCAACAGATCGTTTGTTCCGATTGCTTATTTCTTCTTGTTGTTTTTTTTTCACAGTACATAAACCAAATGCTATTTCAATGATGAATTTTCGAATTTTATTTCTCTAAATTTTTAAATTACGAAAAATTATTCCTTTATCTTGATGCGAATCATCACATTTTCATTTGAACACACGAAAATGTAATGTTTACTCTGCACAATGAAACACGCAAACAAAACTTTGTAGCTCGGTCTTCGTTTTCTACTCAATGACGACCGAAACAAAATTAAATTATTTCCATTTACGTGTAGTATGGTAAATAAAGTCTTGACTAGGTCAATTCACATCTTCTCAAGCAAAAAAAAAACAAAACATCACTTCACATAATTCATAAAAAAATCGTTAGTATTCAGTTCAGGGCACACTAAAACGGAAAAGACGATTACGTTAATGTAATGCACACACACACACACACACACACAAACACTGACCGACTCTCGCAAAACTCAATGCAATAAAGCACCAAGCAATTTACATGAACATAAAATGTACTGCTTTTCACTGCTGATCACAAAATCATTCACTCTTTTTTTTGCACATACCCAAAAATGTAGTTGAAGTGAGATAGAGAGAAAGCGATGTGCTTTAAAATGTTTCTTTTATTGCAGTCTATAAATAATTTTTGTGTTCCACGGAAAATCACCTTTTTTGAAATCGAAAACATTCGCTGAATAACCCACAATTGATCTCACTGTTGAATGGATTTCTGCTCCTCTCTTTATTTTTCTCAATATGGAACACGCTCGCTCGCTCGCGAGAAAAAAACTAACAACGTGTATTGAAATGAGTAAACGCTTGTGCAACGTGTATATTTTACATTCCGTGTGTCTCGTAAAAAAGACAAATGCAAACTGAGCCCTCTTCGGAAATCGACACAATTATAATCGACTCGATTCGGATATATAAAAAAATTCCGTTTTTTTTCGAAACAAACAATTTCGTTTTTAATGCGTATTTCGTGGCGACTACGACTCGTGCGCGGAATAAACCAAATGAATGATCACTCACTATACACCGACGAAATATATATCTATATATATTATTTTTCGTTTTCTTTCAATTTGTATTTGTTTACTACACGCGTAACAATGTCTATGTGTGACCGTCACTTCGGTTTGCTACGTTAAAATATACATAACAACAACGACAACCGTCGAAAATGTGTAAACAAAACGCTTAACTGTGGGAATGTTCATCAATCGTCTTTAGTTTTATTTTTGTATTTGAATGAACGAGAGAAAAAAAAACAACAACGACAACATGAACACGGATCGGCACACAAATTGAATTCGGCCCCGCACAAATACATTGGCATTGGAGCAAAAAAAAAAACATATTGACTCTATTTAATGACTATAGGCCCATTGTATTTGGCAAACGAACAGTGAGCCCAAGTGGAAAAATATTTTGAATGGTTTGACGTGTTGTGTTCGATTGCTTTGACTAATAAGTAAAACGATTGATTGAAAAAAATATCGCGAAATCGGAATTTGATTGCAAACTTCATTCAAAATGGCACGATTCAATTCCATTCATTGATTTCAAAGATACAATCACATTTTTTTATAATTGGAAGTATCAAGTTGATTGTTTAACATACGGGCGGTCGCAATAATTGATCTCAAAATTGAGATTTACTGCTTTGAATGTTCTTATAATAATAATATCGAAACGTGAATCTCATGCCACGGCAAATTGACATATACCAAGCATATTTTAATTAAATGTGTCTGTTAGATTCCAAAGAAGAAGAAAAAAATTATAAATTATGGCGCTTTGTGAATTTATGTTGGTATGTGTTGTTTGGCGCTTGTGTGGAATTTTATGTAAAACAAAAACCAAATTGATTGTTTGTGTGTGATGACACAATAAGAGGGGAATTTTCGAATGGAATATTTGATCGCACTTGTCAAAATTATACGATAAACACTCGCGAACCAGAATTCACAGAATTGAACAAAAACAATCGATTTCCGGCAAATTGATCGAAATGTATCACGTTTCTGTCCAAGTCATTATGAAAACTGGCGAGAGTAAATAACGTCATTGATTGAGTCCGATTAGATAAAAGAAAACGTGTTCATGAGCATGAATTGCACGGGAGTTAAATGTGTCTTGTGTCTAAATAAAGTTGCTATAAATCAAACACAATCGCCGTAATGAGATATGTTTAGCGTCTTTTTTCGTGTCATTCTGTCTAAAGAACATCTTCAATGACTCATCTTCAATGACTGCACATCTTGAAGGCTTTTTATTTTCAGATTTGTTTGCCACACAGTCTGAATGCTTTGGAGCGGTGCACATTTACACTTTAATCACGTCGTTACGACATATTCGTGGCAGTTAAAAAAAATGTGTAATCATTTTTTTGTTTGTTGAGATTTCTTTTTTCATCCGTCGTCAACGTAGTCGTCGGTATGGTACGTGCTTCTGTTTCGAAAGTGAAATGTGGGTTTGATCGATGCGCAATGACACTTAACCGAGTGCAACTGTGCATACCGAACACCCAAGACACCAAAAGTCAAAACCAAGAATTAAGATTGAAGAAACAAATGTACACGACACGATGTCGACTGCATTCCACGGAAATATGAAATTCCATGCCGGATGAACGGAAGTTGGAACTGAACAACAAACAAACATTATAATTAATGCGACGCGATCTATGCAAATTAACGATGATTACCGATCATATTATTCTAATTTATTTCATTTAATGCACACGAGTCATAAAAACATAATATATTTCATTTGTTTGCTTATCCTACGGCGCATGAGTATCGCAACTTGGTGTGGTCACTTCTTGGCATTCACGATTAATCATCACATACATAAAATGGTTATACCATACACGGTATTTGCTTTATGAATTGAATTTCTTCGGAATCAAAGACGTCAACGTTTCTAAACAAAATAAACCAAAAAACATGCCAGAATTATCAACATGGAACGGAAAATCACATGATTTGTATTTATAACGAGGAAGAGACGTATGCCACACGAAAAAGTGAAGTAATTAAAAACTCATCCTTCTTTGAAAGCAATCGGAAATGATACAAGTAACCAAGCTGTTCCCGATATGGACGATCTGCGACGTATTAATTAGTAAAAAAATGTTTGTTTTTGTTTTTAATCGCAAATTTCTTGGAAATGTTTTACAACAATAACAAAAAAACAACGTCAACAACTCTCAAAGACGCCCGATTTAATTTTATTATTTATATTCTAACATTTATATGCGTCACAATAAATGTTCGCTCTACATTTCAAAACAGATGCTAAATTATTTGGTTTTTGTTTTTTCGGATTAAATAAATAGAACGCAAATCCATGCCAAAATACAAGAAATAAAAAAAACAAAGTGGCCTATCGAAAGGAATTCTTTTTTCGATTAAATGAAAACCGCTATCGAAAAGCAAAACCAACGGTGTTTTATTTGAATTGGCGGTAAAAAAAATTTCCTCATGAAAATCTCTGTCAAAAAGAAGAAGGAAAAAAAGAGATTGAAAGAAGGAAAAAAACGATGTACTACTGAATAAGCAAAATTGTTGGTCGTTGACTTTATAAGCGAATAAAATCAGTTTCATGATCCAACTGACAGATCGATCATAAAAGTGGTATTCAATAAAACTGAATAGATACCATTCCAATACATTGTTGTGTAATCGACGCGAATACAAAACGAAGCAGAAAAAAAAACCAACAAACGCCACACAATCGCATTCATAACATTACAAATGAAAACAAATAAAAACGAACGATCGAAAAAAACAAATCGCAACAAAATAATGTGTTCAGTGCCATGTGAAGTAAACAGAAAAAGCTAACGTTTAGAAATACTCAGACATAGAGAGAGAGAGACGCGAGGAGAGCGGCTGACGCTTTAACGGTGAATGTGTTATGCACACAATTAAAATCTGTATCGCGCATCATTCGTTTGCCGGTCAACGAGCGTTTTTAGATCGTTTCGATACGCTCTTTGCGACGTATATATTTTCTTGGATATTAGCGCAATTTTTGCATGCGGTACACATTGGTTTTTTTTGTTCGTTCATACTTTTCAAGCGATTAAAGAAGTTGAAGAAAAAAAAAGCAGAAAATACAGTTTAGACATTGAAAAATACACAATCGGTTAATCGCATGATGAAAGAGAAAAAAAAACGCGATTTATAAACGATTTGCTTTGGAAACGGTTTCTTAAGAGTTCATCCACATATCTATGTTCGCCTGATTCGAAATGGATCCTCTAGGTATATACGGAAAGTAGTTTCAGTGAAAAAAGTTTTTTCTAATCATTTCGGGTGGAGTTTTTGTTTTCGTATCTCTTTCTCAGTGTTTCAAATGAACTTCTAACGAATATTTTACGAGTAACTAATGTGCAGGAAGTACGATGTAAAACAAATGACTTCCAGATGTTTCACTAACAAAAAAAACTTAAAAACAAAATGCAAGAAAAATCGTGTGACTTACTTTGAGTAAATTTAAAATTCGCTGTGACAGTTCATAGTCGAAATTGGAGTATTTTGAGGCGCTCATATCGTAGATGAATACTAAGCCTGCCTTTTGTGTATCGATATTCTGTAAAGCGGCGTCCAACTGATAAATAACACCTTGTAATGTTGTACGATGTGTTACTTCTTTTGGATTGTGTAAGTTGGCGGTGAACAAAGCAATAGCTGCACCACTCGAATCACGTCCCGCCTGTTAAGATTAAGATTGAGAGAGAGAGAGAGAAAAAAAAAACGAATAAATAATTTAGCTTAACGACCGCTACAAGCGTTTTTAATGAGTTTAATTGTAAAAAAGAGAAAAACTTACGAGTATTGTGAATTTGCCTGTTTCTAATTCCGTGCGCAATGGATCTGACATTGGTTCGATATTATCAAGATCTTCCACTTTTCGAGTTAATAAATGTTCCTCGAATAGTGCCACTGCGCGTGGTACATCCAATTTGCGAGCTAATACGAATTTCAGCGCAGTCGACGTTGAAATCGTTCTTCCCTCAATTTTCTTACTTACAATCTCTATAAATTCTTTAACAGCCTGCAAAATGGAGAAAAACTGAATATAAATATTTCGGATTTTTTTTTAATTAGGTAAAGATAAAAGCGGAAATCATAAATGTGGTATTTTAGTTTATATTTTATGCGCTTAACAATGAAGTCGTTATCAGTTGTGAAAAAAATAGAACAAAATCGAATACCTCGAATGCCCACAAGAATAGAATGCCAATAACACCGAATTTACGATTATTTTTATCAGACATTTTGTACTGAATTTACTTTTTCACGAACAAGAAAGTATTAACACAAATCAATTTTCAGTTCTTTTCAAAACTTGAGAAAAACCTCTATAACATCATTTTCACTTCGTCGATTTATGTGATAAAAATTTTGATGCGTTTTTTTCAATTCCGAAATAAAATCAATTGCCTTTTTTTTCAGATCAAGAATTTCCGGTTTTTTTTACAAGATGATAGGGAGTTAATTTCGCACAGAGCAGCAACATCCGAGAGTCAAATTGACATTAAAAGAAAAATCGTTATATGCACCGGATGCACATATGCAACGTATCGATGAGGAGAAAACAACTTGTCTTTTTTTGTCGTCGTTGTCGTTGTGGATTCGGATATAAAACTAGAAAACTTTCTTCGTGCTTGGAAACTTTTTTCACAGTTTGTCTTCGACATGAAATTTAATGAGCACAGTTTATAGAGTTTTAACGCTGCAAACTACTTTACGTTTATATTTTTTTTAATATTCATTTTTTTCTTCGTTCTTATGCCCAGGTTGAGTTGTTCACTTAATGTGAAACGATGTTGAAATTTTAATGATTGAAGCACACAAACACACACAAACATTTAGTCGCACATACCCTCTGTTGATTTCTGTTCAATAAATTTGTTGTTAATTTTGAAGTCACTAGAGTGAATAGAGAGCAAACTGTTCAGGTCGATGATTCAAAGGTCTTTGCTACTTCAATTGTTGAAATGTTCAATGTTTGTTCAATTGATAAAAACCAAACTTAATTCACTAACAGTTGAATAAAAATGTTCGTTCATGCATAAAACGAAATAATCGAATGGACTCTCACTTGATTCCGTCGAAAGTATTGTTGAAAAATTTCGTTTCTTTCGCTGTGTTTCACATTTAATTCAATCAAATGAAGAAAAAAAAAACATTCAACCAAAATCATTAAAGAATCAGATCATTGAAACTATTCTCTGTGTTCACCTTTCGCACGGTCCATTTGACGATATTGTAATTGTTTGTTATTATTCGTTGATTGTTAACAAGAGAAAAAAAAACTCTTCACGAAATTGTCGAATAAATAAAAACCACATCCGAAAACAATTGTTCCAAATTCGCCAATTGACTGCAAATGTGCGAAATGGCAAGAAAAAGTGTTTCAACCGTTAAAACTAGCACACAAAAGAACACACAAAAATCATTCAACAAATTGCATTATTTGCCCTCCCGATGAAAAATAACAAACAACACTGAACAACTTGAATATGGTAGCCACCGCGACATAAAATGGTTAATAATCTCTCTTTCTTTCTCGCTGTATTTAATTCGGTTTATTTCGATGTGAGTCTGATGTGAATTCGCTGTTCATGAGGAGATTCGAATCGCAACTGGAAGCATAATGAACGTGATCGTGAGTGTTGAGTATGAAAAACTGAAAAGCATAGCCTCGGATGATACATAAAACTTGCTTTGCTTTGCTTTGTGTCGTCACTTCGACGATATGTGCGGCTCGTTTCGTTGTTGCTTGTGCCTTTACAGTTTTTTCTACATCTCTTCTCTCTCGCAGTGCAAACACACACTTCTTTTTCATTGTTCACATTTCTTTCGTCCTCTCACCATCTCTTTTCCATTTATTTATCGGTCGTTACTTTTCTTTCAGTTTCAGATATTCGTTTTGTTATCGCACCACTTCTCATTGCGTTTGTACATTTCGGTTATGGGTCTCTTTCTGTGCATGTGTAACCATGTGTGTGTGAGCATGTGTACATGAGTAAATCTACGCGAACGTTTTATTTTACAATTTTTCTCTGTTTTAGATTGCTCTAACAGCAACAAAATACTAACTAAACGAAGACAAGACTCACATTTATACAAGAAAGGTTCAGATATGCGATTGCGTTCATCTCTACATGCTTTTTTTATTCTTCTCTAAACGTTTTGTGCTGCTACGTTCGCGACCATTCTGTTGAATATTTTTCGTTTCTTTTTTTCTGACTCTTCTTTTCACCTCTGAATTTCATTTCATTTACAAAGCAGTTGCATGTTGGATACCATTGGTAATTGATGTATATAAATGTATATAAAATAAAACAAGGGACGAGTGATTGGACGAGCGAAAGAGAAAGATGCGTCGTGTATGTGGAGTTGGCTAGATTAATGATGCCGGATGATGTGTACCATGCAATCAGAATCGTTTGCCGAATGGCTTTAATTTTAAAATTTTCGGAATTGAGCAGAGAGTCGATATGTACTTAGGATTCGTGTGGGTTTAAGTTTTTAATACATTCACAGAATATGGTACGCTTATACACTCGATTGCAGTTAGCCGTTTTGAGTTCGCCCGCGTTCAAAACGAAAAAAAAGAACAATAATAGAGACCATCGAGATGCAGCAACGTCGGATTGTGTTGTGGTTTGCTGTTCATGTGGGCGAAAGATGATACGGCTGAACAAAACACAAATCTGAAAATCCTTTGAGCTCATTTCATGTTAAGACTTTTATTGAAACCATCGTCTCTTTCTCTCTTTTGCGTCTCTCTCTACAAGTCATTGGATTTACTGAACGTGTGTGTATGGTGCATTTTGCCAATGAAATCAAATGGAAGTTCGATCGATGCTACTGAAAAAATAAACATAAGAGCACCTCACAAAGAAAACAATTGCTGCACAAGTTAAACAACAAAATGAAACGTGTTTGTCTGTATGTATATCTGTATTCCATCAAATGCAAACAGCGTCTATCTTATTATTGGTTTTTATGATGGATTATTTTAATCAAGTTGAAGTATTGTTCGTGCTTTCTTTGTTCTTCAACTTCGATCTTGAGGTGCATACACCATGTTTTAAGTGGTCAAAAAGCGCTCCGTGATACCATCAAGTATTAAATATAATAAAGACGCTTTAAATTCAACTTATCTCGAGAGATGGAATCGGGGTTTCTATCCATTCGCTCAGTCACACACTCTTTGTCTGTGGTCTCTTTCATGTGGAAAGTTGATGCCCGAGTGTACACATTATTTTTTATCTTTGTCTCATGCCAAGAGACTGTTCGAGTTTTCTTATTATGCGCATAATGTGTGCCATGTGTCGAGTGCAGATTCTTTTTTTTTATTGCTGCTGTTCGTTTGTTTGCATTCGATGTGAATTGCATGGCTAATAAAAATGATATGTGCAACATTGTATGAGCTCTGCGCATTTTTGCCATTTCACTCGATGCATTCGCAAAACAAGAGTCCCAAAAGGTTGAAATTGCATATACAAATTATTGCCATTGTCAACCGCAATTTTATCCAATCTTCCGACGTTTGCTTGCACACTTCAAACAATATATCCGGTCGGTGCATTGACTTCGTGTTTCCCTCTTATGCATGACAGAGTTGGAGAGAGAGAGAGAGAGAGATGCGGTTTGTGGTTTAAATTTATGCTAGTGCACATGTCATTCGGTCTGATGTAGTGGCAATTATATCTCAATGAGACGTTCTTTCATTTGATCTTGTTTTAAATACACGAAAATGGGAAAAGATATAGAGTTCAAACATAGTTTTTGGTTTGACACATTTCAAGAGTAGTAATGTGGGTATGTGCAAGTAAGTTTTGTTATCATCGGATTTCTTTAACCCATTAAAAAATACCCACTTAACCTTTGAGGATGGCATTTAGCTTCAGACACACATTCATTAAATTAACACATTATTCAAATGTTTTTTTCCGAAATGTAATATGAGTAATATTTGGTTCTGTCCCGTTCCCATTTTTTTGAAGTCGATAATTGAAGTGGATAAGAATAAATTGAAGTGAGTCACTTAAGATATCGAAATTCGACCGCCCAATGCCATTGCTGTTATCACTTTCTTTCGTAAGAAATTCTCGATAATTGAATAGCCGACTCTTTTGAACTATTTCCAAATGAAAAAAGAAAGCATTTCAAAATCGAAGTCAATAGCTAGCATTGAACTCATCGGAATTATATATTATTGGAACGGACTTGAAATATTCTCTTCTCTCTCTTTGAAATTAATAACTGGCGTCAGTTATATATAGATAATGAACCGTTACTATGCGTCGAGAAAATTTCGACATTGCATCGACGTGTTTTAAATTGAAACACAATTCACAGTGTGATTGTAAGTGGAATTAAGTAGGTCTAAGTGATTCAAATCGGTGAAAATATAACCAATGTTGAAAATGACGAATGCAATTTATGCCGCCACACATTTCATAGAATTACGCTTTCAAGACTTTGCGATTCATAAGATGCGATGTGCGAGTGCACTCACAAAAAGAAATTCATTGCTCGACTTTTTACGATGATCATTTTGATATGCTCGACGAATGCGATCGTGTGTTTGCAGTGAGTTGGCGATAAACGGTGTATGTACCCAACGCAATTGCACCATTTACATTTTATGCTACTGTTGATCTCGTAATCTCATTCACATTTTTGACTTTCAAACGATACGAAAAATGCTCTATAGCACAACCAAATAAAATATTAAACATCAAGTTTTAATCAGGTTTCATGCATTCACCGCTTTTCATATGCAATTTCAACATTGAACAATTATGATGTACAGTTGTGTGTGTGCGTTTTTTGTTGTTTTTTCATTATCATCGAACGGAATTGTTCTTTTGTATCGTCACCCATTGCACAATTCCATAGACGTTGCAAATCAGATTCGGCCGAAATGAAGGTGATTATACCGTTATTGTGTTGTTTTTTTCTTCTTCTATATAGCTTGCATAGAAAGCCAAATATTTTTCATAAAAGTACTCTTCCCACATTATCTACAAAACATGAGCTGAGCACGCATCGCCCGTCAAATTGCCACCCAACAACGAACGAAAAATTGAATTTTTATCAATGTTGATGGAATTCGAGGAAATGAATGTAAACAATGAAATAAAATATGAAAAGAAATGGAATTGTGTCATTTTATCGTCATGAAAACAATTCGTCACCGTTCAACGGCAAGAGATAGTGCAATGCAAATATTTATCATGGCAAGAACCAAAATCTTGTCGAAATGCTCTCGTCGAAAGTTGAGAAACAGCTTGGAGCAGCAAAAGAAGTCAATTCTTCTTTTCGATTTAAAATAGCGATAACAATCCACATTTATGTATAAATTTCATTTCGATGCATATAAAAAAGAGTGTGTGTACCTGCATGCACATGAATTTCCTGCCATTTTGTGCTCTAAAATTAGCCATATATTCTCTCTGTTAGATTCTCGACGCTTGAACAGCGCGATGTCAAGGGAAAAAGAGAGAAAAAGAGAATGAGCGTGCGCTCATTTGCATTAAGTCAAGTTAAATTACCGTTTCGTGATGAAAATTCTCGTTGCCATCTGAATATATGTATATTTTGTATGTAAACGGGCGAATGGATTTGCGTTTGATTATGGCAATTTCATAGAAAATAAAAGAGAAAGAGAAATCCATTCTGGGTACATACTGAATACCTGGAACTTGATTTTGCAACATTTCAGCTCACTCACATTCTGCATTCGTATTTTACTTCTTTTCTTCTTCTTCTCGAATTGGCATGAATCGTTCTTCATTTCGTGTGCCGTGTCGTTCGTTTCAATTGTGTCGTTATCGCATATATACGCACATTTTATGTGTGCTGCTACTGAATATCGTGCGCCAGCATAAAGCCAATTTCATTATAGAAACGTCTAATTAAAATACACACATTTCGTTTGACTACTGAAACGAATCTCAAGACTCTCGAGAGAAGCCGAAAGGTTAATACTCGTCGCTTTTGAAGAATTCATTGCAAGATACGACAACGACAACGATGATGATGATGATGATTATAAATCAAAAAAACCAAGGAACACAGAATGAAGACGAAGAAATAAAATTTACGTTTTAACTTTCTATTGGACGGAACTGAATGTTGTTTCTTTACAAAAGTGCAATCATTTCATAGATAATCTTCGTAATCGTGCGAATATGCTGTGTGCATATGACGATGAATATATTGTGAATCAACATTTTTACAAGCGAAAAAGAAATATAGTAGCTAGTTGATTTTTTTTAATGACCGCATTAAGAATAAATAGAGTGAAATCTGGTAAAATGCAACATAACATAAGCGCAAGCGAATGTGCGAGTGCGCGATAAAAATCTTAGCTGGCAATTATTCTTATCGGCAAAGTGAAAGACCTCAATAAATCTTCGAAGGTGTAAAATAACATGACGCAGCTGTGTGCGGCAAATATTCACGGCAGGTGCACACACAAAATCACTTTTTAATTTTGTTGAAAAGAAACCAGTTCCGTTCAAATATTTGGCTCTTGAGGTTTAATGAATCGCACAGAATTGACGAAAATTGTACGGGTAATGAGTTTTTCTAAGAGAAAGAAAGAAACGTAATAACACAATTTCAACCAAAA